CTCCTCTTCCCCCCCTCTTTCCTCTCTCCGTTTGTTGCTTCCTTCCTCTTTTCTTCGCTCCCTTTCCCGTCCTTCCTCTGTTTCTCTTTCCCTTCTTCCCTTCTCCTTTCTCCTTCCCCTTTCCCTCCCCTCCCTCCTCGTCTGTCCTCCCCTTTTTCTCCCTCCTTCCTCCCCCCTCCTCTTTTCCTTCCTTTTTTCCTTTCCTTTTGCCCTCTCCCCCCCCGCGCGTTCTTCCCTTGCCCCTCCTCTTGACTTTCGTGCAGAGACTCCACTCTGTTTTGTCTTTAATTTTTAATCTAAAATAGATCAATTTTTTTACCACGGGCTGTAGAACAAACCTGTTTCTCTTTCCCCTTACATGGTCCTGTCTTCCCCCGCCCCGCCCTATTTTGATATCTTTACAAGTTTTCAATGGTGTTGGAAAATCCTGATCTATTTTTTTAGGTTGTGATGTTATAAATTGGTGAATGAATCTCTAATTAAATAAAGAGGGCTGAATGCAGCTTAAAAAACATTTTCTTCCTCCGTCGAGACTATCCTTACAACTAACACCTATTGTCCAAGACTCAAGTGTTGAGCCTATCGGTCGGGAAATCCTCGGAGAACCCACATAAAGAATCGAAGTTGACAAAAGTATAGAAGCTTCTTTCGAGCCATCGGTTCCTGTGGGACTCAAGGTGTCTGCTGGAGAGTCGACAACAGTGAGTTTGAAGCCTTGGAAATTTGAAGAATCTGTTTATGGGTACAGTGCAAATTTGAATTGGTTTCTGCATGATAGTATGGACGGGAAAGAAGTTTTCTCATCAAAGCCTTCAAAGTTTGCTATGATTAATCCTAAGTCGTGGTTCAAAAATCGATACTCAAGTGCTATGCGACCTTTCACCAGGCAAGGAGGAATTGTTTTCGCAGGCGACGAATATGGAGAAAAAGTGTGGTGGAAAGTGGACAAAGGAGCCATTGGAAAAACAATAGAATGGGAGATAAGGGGTTGGATATGGTTAACTTATTGGCCCAACAAACGCATAACCTTCTACAACGAAACTAGGAGGTTGGAGTTTCGAGAAATAGTAACTGTTGATGTTGCTTAGCCTCACGTCTAAGACCCATTATTATACAAATAATAACACACGTACTTTTCACTAATATGTAATGTGAGTCATTTTTTAAATATACCTCATACAATCGTTGAAAAATAATACATAAAATTAACGATGACAACTATATGGATCACAACAAAAACATCTAAAAAATATTGTTTGTCAATTAATAATGCCAATTTCTACTCATCTAAAACGTTATGTTCTTTACTATTGTGGTGTATTGACTAAAAGAAAAAAATATATGAAACATATTCAAACTTTAATAAAATAGCTTTTAATTTCATTCAAATTTTATATATTTTTACTCATTGATCATTTTGAAGATTTGGAACAAACAATAAATACTTTAAAAGAGAATTGAATCCTTAATTCTCTATTTCATTTAAACTATTGCGTGCGAATAATTGTGACATGATAAGGGAGTTCCTTGTGGGGATGATAGGCTAACGTAGTTTTTCTTTGACAACAATCCCTTTTATAGCATTTACAAATTTATTATTTAAGGTTTTTCTTACATGTTTTATTATTTCATATACTTTAGTTTGTCAAATTTGTAACAAATTGGTAGCATATTTTGAAAATACAACATTGTTTTAACCTTATAACATGAACAAAGAAAACCTTAGACAACAAATTTTAAAATAATAATAGTTAAATACTAAAATGTGTAATTAAAAATGATTTTTTTTATTAAGATGACTAAATGTCAATTCGACCTATTTTGATCTTATCTATTGTAACAAAATATGTTAAAAATATGGTTGTCTTATTAAAAGATGGACCAATAAATTAATTGATTATTTTTTTTCGTATATATATATATTTATATTTATATATATATATATATATATATATATATATATTAATATTAAAAACATATTTAATTATATAATTTTGTTGATTAATTAATATTTTAATTAGATAAATTAAAGTAATTAATATGTTTAGATATTAAATTATTCAATTATAATTTATAATTAAAATTTAACTAAACTACAATACTAGTATGTACTAACATTTTTCTAAATAATGTAATAAAAAATAATATTTTAAATTACTTTTAATTTAATTTTGAACTTAAAAAAAGCGAGTTATTAAATTGAAAATACTAATTGAATTTAGTGAAGGAGATCCACTCTGTTGTCTTTAATTTTAATATAAAATAATAAATTTTTTTAAAAGAGATGTAGAAAAAAAATGTTTATTTACAATTATGGTAATGTATTAAAAAGAAAAGACTATTTTTGATTATCTTTAAAAGTTTTCAAGAGTTGAAAATAATGATATATTTTTTTCAGGTGTGATGTTATAAAATTGGTGAATGAATCTCTAATGAAAGAAAGAGGGGCTGATGCAGCTGAAAAACATTTTCCGTCGAGAATATCCTTACAACTAACACCTATTGTCCAAGACCAAGTGTTGAGCCTATCGGTCGGGAAATCCTCGGAGAACCCACAGAAAGAATTCGAAGTTGACAAAAGTATAGAAGCTTCTTTCGAGCCATCGGTTCCTGTGGGACTCAAGGTGTCTGCTGGAGAGTCGACAACAGTGAGTTTGAAGCCTTGGAAATTTGAAGAATCTGTTTATGGGTACAGTGCAAATTTGAATTGGTTTCTGCATGATAGTATGGACGGGAAAGAAGTTTTCTCATCAAAGCCTTCAAAGTTTGCTATGATTAATCCTAAGTCGTGGTTCAAAAATCGATACTCAAGTGCTATGCGACCTTTCACCAGGCAAGGAGGAATTGTTTTCGCAGGCGACGAATATGGAGAAAAAGTGTGGTGGAAAGTGGACAAAGGAGCCATTGGAAAAACAATAGAATGGGAGATAAGGGGTTGGATATGGTTAACTTATTGGCCCAACAAACGCATAACCTTCTACAACGAAACTAGGAGGTTGGAGTTTCGAGAAATAGTAACTGTTGATGTTGCTTAGCCTCACGTCTAAGACCAAATTATTATAAAAATAATAACACACGTACTTTTCACTAATATTGTAATGTGAGTCATTTATTAAATTATACCTCATACAAATCGTGAAAAAATGAATACAATAAAATTAACGATGACAACTATATGGATCACAACAAAAACATCTAAAAAATATTGTTTGTCAATTAATAATGCCAATTTCTACTCATCTAAAACGTTATGTTCTTTACTATTGTGGTGTATTGACTAAAAGAAAAAAATATATGAAACATATTCAAACTTTAATAAAATAGCTTTTAATTTCATTCAAATTTTATATATTTTTACTCATTGATCATTTTGAAGATTTGGAACAAACATATAAAATAATTTAAAAGAGAATTGATTCCTTAATTCTCTATTTCATTTAAAATATTGCGTGCGAATAAGTGTGATATGATAAGGAGTTCCTTGTGGGGATGATAGGCTAACGTAGTTTTCTTTGAAAACATCCTTGCAAAGCACTGTCCAAGAGCGAGTGTATACTCTTTTGTGAAAGTATATTTTATTAAATAGGTTTATTTAAGGTCATACAAAAATCATGACAGATAAGTCTAATAAAATTAAAAAAAAAGTGTTAAAATTTTAAATTATATATAATATAGCATTCAACTTCTTTTTTTAATTGTTTAATTAGATCATTCAATTAAAAATATGATTAAGCTATCAAATTGTAATATTTTTATAAGTAGATTCCTGAATTATTTAATTAGAACTTAAAATCGTCAGGAAAAAATATAAAGATCCAATTAAATTTTCTATTATTTAATTAAAAAATATAAAAAAATTAAAGACCCAATTATATAGCTATGAATTTAAAGACTTAATTAGAAAAGTTTAAACAAGGTATAGAATTTATGTAATAAACCTTTTTAAAGGAGCTTGTCCAAGACACCAACTACCATGCCACGATGGGAGAGTCCACGTAAGGGACGAGAGAGGCACAAGTCACACCCCGGTGCACATTAGCGAGGAAACTTTCCTAGATTGGAACGGAGAGGGTGATTAGAGGGGCGGAAATCTCAAAGAGACAGAGTGCAACTAATTTATCCACCTCTTTCCTTGTTGGCTTAACTTCACTCAACCTCGCTATTCTCTATAAGTTTCTCTCCTCCATCATTTTTCCCTCCCATTATTCCATTTTCCTGTTCTTTCATCGCTCTCGAACTCTCTCTACCATGGAATCATCCGCTGCCATTCGATCTTTTAACTGTATCTCTCTCTCTCTCTCTCTCTCTCTCTCTCTCTCTCAATCTGCATCTGCATTTTTGTTATGAACGTGTCTTTCCGAATGCGATCTCTGCTTTTGTGTTTACGATTTTTCTGTTTTATGTTCTTTAATTTATGCGACGTGTGACGGAAATGGGAAAAGATTCACATACGCAGTTTGATTTTGGAAAACGAATTCTATACATCTGGATTAGGTTTATGATTTTCGAGCTAGAAAGAAAAGTAACTGCGAAGGAGCTCGCTAGATTTGTCATTGTGTTGTAAACATTGGACGGTTTTCGTTTAAGGCACTTTTCGCATTTCTTGCTTTCTTTAAATATCGTTTCTTATGTGAAATGTTATTTTCGTTTTGAATTAAATGCTGAACATAGGGTGGAGTTTTTGCTACTGTGATTTATTTATTCAATTTTATTCAAAGAAAGGTTATGCCGTAGATACTTTCCTTTTAAGATTTGCAGGAACCTTTGAAACGTTTCATAACTAGTTGTATTAGCTTGCGCGACTTGTTCCTCGTTGCTGTTATATGTGAAGCTTAATTTAACCTTAGAATGAACTTGACAATTAGGTAGCAGCGATAGAGTTGTTTTATGCTATTGATTAGTATCGTTTGTTTACAAGAATCACGACACGATCATGACGTTTTTCATTAAGTTAGATGAATGCCACTGATTAGGTGATTAGTATTATTTTTTGCTATTGATTTGTATAATTTTTCATCTTTCTACAAATAACCAAAGGATGGTCTACAATCACCTTAGAGCTTGTAATTGTCCATCTATCGGGTCCTATAGGAGAACACAAGATGAGTAGTGACTGTGTGTTTTTTCTTTTTGGATAACTTTAGTGGCGTCCATATGTTGGATCCTATTTACTCTCAGAAATCTTCGTGTTTTGTTGCTTATTTTATTCTTTCGTTGATCTATTTCTGTTAAATAGAACAGTGAGTTCCGTTTTTCCCATGTCTCTTTGAAATAGGCTTAATTACTTTTGGAAAGGGTCTCAATGCCTTCTTAAATGGTCGAATTTCAATATACAATACTATTTAAGCAGTTCAATGTTTTTAATATGATTTTACTACAGTCAGATGCTTAATCATGACACTTGGATTTCAGATCCCATGGGCACTATGTCCCATATGCGACCTTCCCGTGATAAACAAGTTGTAGTTCCCATCCACAATGTCCGATGGAACTCTAAAAGTAGACTTTTCATCCAGCATTTGGCTTATGATCGGAAGCACATTAATTCCCACGTGAAGGGGAACAACACACTAGTTTCATGTGCAAAAACAGCTGAACCTATCAACACATCCAAGTCTGGTGATGGTGGGTTATATTGATCGTGAAATGAATTACGTCCTTATTCTTTGTTTTTGTTGACTTTTGTTTGAATGAGAAAAGTCTGATACTATTATTTGGTCTTAGTGTAATTATCTTCTTAGTTATATATTTTAAGTGTTTTTTTTTTTAAAACCCCACATCGATTAGAGATATGACAAAATCATAATATATAGATAATTACAAATCTCATCTTATTAAATTGTGAGATTGAATTAGACTTAAATTTCACTTTTTAAAAATGGTATCAAAGTCATTCAAGAGCCTTTTGTAGCCAAGTTTGTTGGGTCTATTATGTTACCCACTTTTGGGTTTCCCCTAGTCTATTACGTAGCCAAGTTATATTACATAGGTAAGTGCAAATCTTGCCTCATAAGTCAATTTTGTAAAGTTAAGTTAGAATTAACTTATATTTACTTTCTTAAGACTATTATTGAGATTTTAAATACAATAATCAATTGCAAAAATTTTGGGCTGGAATTTCATATGTTTGTGTCATCTAAGATAATCTCCTGGAACTCTTCTATACTTAAAGAAAACAGAGAAGAGAGAAAAGAAAACTCTTACAAGTTACAAACAAAAGATGTGATTTTTATTTCTTTATTTTTAAGGTAAAAATGTAATGTTATTTACACAATAATAGTAGGAAATGTTCTACTTCTGTTGCTCAGTATTAGTGGTATTTGAGAAAGTGTGATCGAGGGTTATATATATATATATATATATAT